GAAAGGGGAAGACCAAGAATGGGGGTTGAACAAACATGGACTAAAGTGACCAAACGGTGGTGCGGTACAAGGTAGTTTGGCAAGTTCAGCCGCCAGCACATCGGCCCATGAGAGTGGTTCGCGAGAGTGAGGGCAGATAGAGCGAGAGCTGAGAGAGCGAGCGAAGAATTGTTGAGACATGGATTCACAGGTTGTGCGGGCATAGTACTTCCCGGTTTCCCAGGCCGAGGAAGAGGGTTGACTTAGGGGACCCCACCCGGAGCCTTAGGTCATAAAGACCTAACCCGCGAGGCAACGGGGTAGTTGATGTATACCAGTAAACTGCACATACCTTCACTTAAAAACTGTCTGCCACGATAGTAACATGAGCGCGAGAACAAGTCCTAGTTCGAAGCAAATCAATGGCGGATACTGGTTAGCACACAAGCACTACGCACTTAAGTACACACGCTCCTAAGCAGCAGGCTTTCCGGCTGAATAACAGTGTATGGATTTGGAACGACCAATGACCGTATCAGGGACCAGATGATCTTCATCCAGCTCTCTTCGATTTCGGGGGAGCTGCTCTTGTGAAACTGTGGGAGAAGGAAACTGTCCCAACCGACTGGAGCCGCTCAGTCATAGTCCCAAGTTTAAAGTGAGGCTCACGATCGGAATGCGGTAAGCATAGAAGAACCAGCATGATCGCCATCGCCTCCAAATTGCTTGCTACTGTCATCCTTCACTGACTGCTTGGCACTCGTGAAAGCCAGATTGGTGAAGAGCAAGCCGGGTTTCGTCCGGGTCGCAGCTGCATCGACCACATATTCACTTTACGTTGGTTGTTAGAGCACCATCACACATATTGACGGCCCACAATTGTCGTGTTCCTCGTCATCAAACGTGCCTTCGATTCGGTTGATCGATCTGCCCTTTGGGACTGTCTGCTCAGGAAAGGTGTACCTGAGAAATATGTAAATATTATCCGTGCACTATACGCGCGTAGCTCAGGCAGAGTGAAGGCTTACGGTAAGCTGTCGTCACCCTTCTCCAGCATTGTGAAACAAGGATGCCCACTATCACCTTTCATCTTCAACTTCGCTAATGAGGAAGTCATGGAAATCGCGTTCACAGGACACGACCTAGTAAGTGTAGAGCTGCTCCCAGGAGAACGACTTCTTGACTTGGAGTATACAAACGATATTGCCCTAATCTCTGACAGCTCACAAACCTGCGAAGCGGCACTGGACAGATTAGCACTGACTGTCCGTCACCTCGGGTTTTGCTTCGCACCCTCAAAGTGCAAAGCGTTCTTCCAAGATTATCCTGGACCGCCTCCTACGCTGACCCTTGATAGCGATCAGTTAGAAGTCGTTCAAAAAGTTAACTATCTGGGAAGTTGTATCAGCGCCCGTGGGATTAAAGATGAGACCACGAACCGTATAGTAAAAGCTCGAGGCGCTTTTACTAACCTTCGCTACTTATGGCGGCGGTGCGACTTCACTGTCGCAGCGATACGTTCTACCCTGCTGTAGGTTGTGAAATCTGGCCCCTTAGATCAGTAGGCAGAAAGAGGCTAGTTCCGTTCGATCACCAGTGCCTTCGCAAATCAGCTCACATCTGGTGGGAACACCGAGTAAGCAATGAGCGTGTTCGACGTTTTGTTTACGGCACAGGAAAAGGAAATGAACCACTCAGCACCGTTATTTCACGCACCAGGCTCCGATGGCTCGGCCACGTGTTACGCATGCCAGCCCACCGACTCCCGTGACGTGCGTTGTTTGCGCGCCGTGATGTGGATGGAAGAAGAGGAGGGGTGGCGAAGCGATGACTTGGTCGAGAGGAACGAAGGCCCCCTCACTTCGAAGCTGGCCTCGGTTGGAGCGCCTCGACTCCCTGGTTGGGGTCCGAAAGAGGATGAACACATTTGGCTGGATACACTTGCTGATATGGCCAACAACCGACCTCGTTGGTGTACATGCTGAGTTTCATTTTACTTCCTCATCCCTCTTAGTCTCCCCCTCCAACGACGATCTCATTGCTTAGCCTAGTAGCCTGCCAACAGCTTTCCCGAACGATGCTAATCCGTTACTGGTAGCTCAGCTGGCGTGCATCTGCTTTTTTCGTATATGTATTGCGGCACTAGCTGAGGTGTTTTCCGCTTCTAGCTAACTTGTATGATAATGATGTACCTGGACTTCAAGAGGTCGTTCGATTCTATAGATCGATGCATTTCGTTTGAAATACTTGCGCTGAAATGTGTCCCCATGAGATTTGTGAATATTTTACCTGATGTGTACTCTACCATCACATGTCGCCTCAGGGTCTACTGTTATCTGTTGGATATTTTCCTGGCAACAGGTAGCACTTATCAGAGTTGCCTAAAATCCCCATTTTTGTTATGGACTGCATCATGAAGTGTTCCCTTGCGGAATCTCACGATGCAGACGTTGAGGTGCTGCCTGGGGAAAGGCTGGTTGATATTTAAAGTTATTGTGGCGGCCCATTCAACTCTGAATGAACTCTCCCGTCGCAACGAAAATGGACTTTGATGTGGTGCGACTGGTTGCATACCTCGTCGACCCATTAAGCTATCTTGAGGGAGCTGTCTCGCTAATGGCGCATTATCTTGGCACGGTAACCATCTGTTTGTGACGGTTTGTTGTTGACATAAGATGTAGGCGCCTTGTCTCTGAATGTTTGTTTAGGGCCATAAGATCATACGCTGGGCCCCTCTTTTCTCTCTGTTATTTTTCTTCATTCCGTAGACCACCATTGTTGTTCGGCAGCGAGGCATCAGTTCCAACGAATCGTGTGATGTTGTTGATGATGATGAATAAGCTGTCTAGCGTAGTCCTATCATTTGGCAAGGTGTTGTTGCAGGACCATCAGCCACTCGATGCCCTCTTGATCTTTGATAACGAGGAATTCGTGGTAGTTGATGAACTCACTTTCGATGCTGCATCAATAACGATGGACGTATAACCACTGAAGTCAGTTCACGTATTGCAAAATCTGGAATTGGATCCTTGAATCTGCGACATCTTTGGAGACAAAAAGGAGTTTCCCTCCGTTTTAAACGTCTTGTTTACAAGTCCACATTGAGGGCTATTCTGCTCTATGGGAGCGAGACTTGGCCGTTACGGTCTGATGATCTGAGGCGCCTTTAAGTCTGGGATCATCGCTGTCTGCGGAGCATTGATGGTGTCGGGTGGCAACATCGTGTCCACAACAATGTGCGTAGGCGAGTCTCAGGCGGTGGTACTTTGGATAGTTCCCTATAACAACAGATATCACTGAATAACCTCTGTTGGCTTTGGCACATACTACGTATGCCTGGTCACCGCTTAACGAGGAGAGCTTTGCCAGATGTAAATTGTCACAAAGCTCGAAGTGTACGAAAGTTAACTTGACAGAGAGCATTGAAGTCATTGACTACAAAACTTGGTGCTATTAGTCCACCTGACTCGCTTTGTGCTTGGCTCGAGACTTTACAGGATCTATCTCGCAGTCGGCACTATTGGCGCGTCCGCTGTCGTCTCCTAGTCGGACTGTCTGTTTAAAGTGTTTTGGTGACGTTATCTGTAGGATAATGACTGATTATGATGCGGGGCAGTTAAAGCCGCAAGGAAACTGTGTCACCGATGCCGTTTTATGTTTGCACGATAGCCGGCTGTTTGTTGACAAGGTAAAGACGCATTGACTCTGGATGTTTGTTTACAGCCCTGAAGTTACTCTCGGTCCCTTTTCTCTCCCTGCGATTATTTCTTTCTTAGGTCACCGTGACCATCTGGCAGCAAAGCATCAGTCCAAATAGTTGATCTAATGATTTTAATGAAGGTGATGCTTTTACGTTGATTTTCTTTTTCTGCCGCAACCTATCTCTCATACTCCTTACTCCTTACTTATTTCTTTTTGCATCTTTAGCGGCATACTTCAAGGTTGATTCTCAATGGAATGGAACGTTTTTGAAAGAATTGGGTGTGATTTACTGGGTCTAGTCTGAGTTACTCATAACACTAACAGATGTCAGCGCTGCCACTTCTGAAGATGGAAGTCGATGCTGCGTTTCTTTTCCTCTGCCGTTCGTCAGCTTTTAGGTGGTCTGTATGTCTGAGGAATCCTGTGCTGACGATGTCTAGTGAGATCGGCGGCAGCACGCTCTTATCTGGTTGTTCTATGAGGAGCTGACTTAACTGTTATAACTACTTGATCATGTTTGTGGATGAGCAAGTTGTTTTGGCTCGGAGCTCAAAAACATTTTGAAGAGCCATCTGTTTAATTGCTAGTGAGACCATATGGGGTTAATATATCTGAACCATACAGGGTAACTATACTTACATCCGCCTCGATACCAAACAAGAACACCACTCCATATTTTCACTCCTCAATTTGCTAGACCTACAGACGTTATTCGCTCTTTCCTTCGGCCTGAAAGTTTGATCACTCGGTTTGAAGGCAAGTGCACGGTGGTCAGCACCGTTTTACAATTAACCATGCAGTCGTTGATACCAGCAATGTCACTTGCATCTGAATAAACCGATCGTCTTGAGCAGTTCGATGCAAAAGATTAATCTAAGTTACCACTATGTGCCAAGGAAACCGGCTTACGGCTTAGTATCTTTTATTTATATTTGGTGCGACTTGGTCAACACGATCTGAGACGGTAGATACCGAGGACATGTCCGGACTATGGGGCTGCAGAATTTTTCTAAATTAAAAGTTTCGTTTGCTTATCCTTGCTTGCCTTTCCAATCATGTGGTTCCTGCTAAACCATCGAACCTAGCTGTGTTATTCTCATTGCTGACATACACTGTATATCCGGTACACTTTCACCTTCGCTTTGGAACTTTTTCGCGCGTTTTTTCCACATGTTTATCATTGGATTCACATTTGCTGCGGATGTGGCTTATCCTCGAGAATTTCCTTGCTTTTTTCGAGAATTATTCAAAATAGCGCTGTTTTCCAGTGTTCCTGTTCCTCGTTCACCATCTGAGTTTTATCTTCTTATCACTACACACTCTTGCTCACAATTTCAGCGATGATGGCTCTACCAAACCGGTTGCTACGGAAATCCACAGTAATCACAAACGCTGTACCTGTTTATCACAAGGAGCTCAAGTAATCTTTACTTGAATCTGTGTTCACGCTTCAGATTGGTGGCCTACGCTGCCGACAAAGTGGTGATTTTACTTGACTTGGCCAGTTTCACCAGCCGTAATTTAACAGGCCACACCGACACAGTGACTACTTTCCAATTCCATTCATGTAATAGCATGATCGTGAGGCATTTTCATCTTTAGCTAACCATTCACTTTCTTCAACGCGTAGCTAGTATCCGGTGGTTTGGACGGACGACTAATTGAGTGGGATTTACGCACCGGGACCAAGTTGAAGGTAGGCTTTGTGCGTTGTCCAACTTTGGCGCCTAAATAGCAAACCAAATTGGATCTGCCAATCACCTTTGTGCATGGACCATTTATCTGTCTTCAGCTGAAGAAACAGTGTAAACATCCGTCATTTATCTTAATAAAATCCAGATTGCCTCAGGATGTACACATCTGCATTTGAAGCGTACACAACGGCTTTCGAATCTTGCAACACACCACTTTTTTCTATCGGAGGAGGAGTTAGTGTTTTGTTATCTTTTGTATAATGTTTTTCCCTTACAGAAGGATCGAATTGTAGCTCATGTCCAAAATCTAGATCTTTTCGTTTATTGGGTGGATTATCGAGTCACTACTTCGTAAGTCCTATCGGTTTCATTGCATCTGATAACGCTCCGGACTCTGTTTTTCATAGTCAACCTTGATGATTATTCATCTTCATTGTCTACTTCGCTAGTTATACATTGACTGAGTCCAGACGTCATGGGACCGCCAAACACTTCACCTGTGTTGCTGTTCACCCTAGCGAAATGATTATCGCCACGGGGAACGGTATAGGGGAAATCTTTATCTGGTACCATCTGGCTTCTGTCACAGAGGATTCATTTCAAGATCCTCTGGATGTGTTGGAAGAGGATTCGAAGGGCATTCTAGCATCCGCAATCAGCTCCTTTGAACCAGTCAAGCAAGCTGTTCTACAGGCGAAGGCATGTGGTTCTTCTTTTGACTATCACCCCACTCACCCCTCGAAGGTGAAACGAAACATTATACATTGGCACTCATCTGCAGTCAAAACAATGTGTTTCACGTCAACCGGTAAGTCAGATATCTGAACGACACTACTAGATAAGATTTGACTTTCTCGATTATCTCTCCACGGTTTTTTTAGTGTACGCTCCCTGGCTACCCCGTCCACAAAAACAAAACTTAGAACTTGCAAATTCATTTTTGATGCAACCCCCTTTCTAACTGCCAATTTTAGTGAGTTAGGACGATCGTTATGCAGAGCACGCCGCTGTCATTCTTGCAACTACGTAACACCAGTCCCTCTCTTCGATTGACGAGCTTGGCATCACGAGTATTCATGGTCTACTGGCTATCGAGGCTCCTCGTACTTCCGCAAAATTGCATCTTTATATCGATTTAAGTGGTTATGCCGCTCATTTGCCAAGTCATTTGAGAATTAAAGAATGCATCAGCCGTACTTTGGAACCTGGTACCACCGCTTCGTCGTCCCACGACCACCAACCATGACCTGCAGGCTAGCTACACTGCTGTGAGGTCGTTCTCGGCTACGCAGGGTCGAGTCGGCGACTTGTGTACATCAAAAACTTGATGTTGCTAGCACAAACTTTTTGTCGCTTCGGGCTTTCACACCCGATAGCATACACATGGAATACGTCTATCTCCGAGTTTGGGTATTTCATGAATTTATTTCGTTTTTGGTACCATAGTTTTTTCTTTTTTTCCCTTTCACCGTTATCAGGAAGTCATCTGTTATCCGGTGGATTGGAAGGAGTCCTTGTGAAGTGGGACACAGCTGAATGTTTGGGTGGCCCTCGACAGCGGCGCTTTCTTCCACGTCTTGGCGCTCCAATCTTCGCGGTGGCTAACTCTGGGGGGCCATCTGAAGACACAATATCACTCACGCTTGAAAATAATGGTATCTACATCTTATCCTTTGTCTCACTTTTGAATGCTTATTTTTTCTACACACCTGTTTTCATTTTTTTGCACCACATAGATGGGTCCAGTTTATATGTTACCACAAAGGCGGTTTGCTTTGAGCCATTGCATCATTTTCTTTTCATTGTTCACCGTCTCAATTCATGTAGTCGGGTCACTAGACTGCCACGAAATTATCCAGACGCAAATCTTTGTGCGCACAATTCATTCTCCCCATGGGAAAGAGTGCCGCCCGCAGAGTATGTGCATATACTGGTTGCGTTCCGCGGTGTCTTGGAGTTGATGTGATGCTCTCGCATTCGGTCTTCTACATGTCTTTTACCCAGGATTTCCATACTTTATTCTCCTCGTGCTCTGCTTTTTGTAGTACCCCTCTTCCCACCACTGTTAATTACGATTATCCTGGTCACGGAAACCGGATGCGCCTTATTTCAATGTTTGCATCTTGCTAGCTTAACTGAGCTGCGCAGATCATGATACCGCGGTCCCATATTGTCCAACTACATAAACTGCGAACACGGACTATTTCCAGTCGTTAGGGAGACATGCAGCAACTGATTGTTTTGCGTCCTTCCCAACTGATGTCGGCTCCATGTGTTTTTCAAGGATCCTATCGTAGCTCTATATTTGCGCCATTCCAATCGCCATACATTTTGCACAGCATCAATTTGCTTCAGTTCTTTCGCTTACACCACGAATTTCTTCGGTCCACCTCTCCTCGACCACCTCTCGAATTCGATCCTGTTGACTCGTCCGTAAAAGCGGCCTCTTTCTCTGCTACCATTGCATCCTCTGATTGACAGCGTCTTTGGGCATCATTAATGCGTCATCATCGGTCGGTGGCCGAGTGGTCTGCACACCTGGTTTGCAACCATAAGGTCACCGGTTCGAATCCGCGTAGGGGCCTGCGTCCTTGCGGTATACTCAGCCCGCGCGCGACTAGTTGTGATCGCGTTGCAGCGAGTCGCCGTTACGGCGTACAGCTGACACGTCATTATTTAATGCCACATCGTCTGTCGAAATGAACAAGTTAGAAACCTCTGCTTCTCATTTTGCCCCTAACCTTTTGTCGCATCAATCACTTTCAAGTCACACATGTGTCGCTCCGTTGATCAGACTTTCATATTCGCCTTCAATTTGAGCATCAACTCCTTATTCACCTGAACGATAGTGCTTCCTTTTCCACTTTGTTTTCTCTGCAGCACTGTTTGCTTTTTTGATTCTATTTTTCTTTGTTTTATTTTTCCAGCGATGTATATTCTGACCGGTGCACTGAAGACTGTGTACTTCCTACAGGGGTTTGTACAAATGCCCCTGACTTGGCGATCGGTTCACAGTTTCAGCGTCCCAGTTAACGTCGTAGTTCTCCCTTACGTCAGAAGTCATCAAAATATCCCTCCTCTCGTTTTAACTAACGGGGCGATGGGTTTCTTACAGTTATTGGATTTCAGGAGGCGGAAACTTGAAATAGCAAAGGTGGGTTCGATTGATGTCCAATTTACCTAGTGTCACATGGCTTTCATGCATTTGAGTAACTGTGATTGCCTATAGCTTGGCCTTACTCTTGTTACTTCCTCCTGAATCCTTTTCTTCCACTGAGCTTACCCATTGTCTTTAAATTGCTCGCTTAAAGAAACGTTTAGTTTCACTTTGAAAGTTGCAGCATAGTTCATCTCATTGCACCTTCGATTTCCGCCTTTCATCATGAATGCACAAACTATTATCGATGCTAGCCCACGAGATAAATCTCTTTTTATACGCGTGCCATTGATGTTTACCATTCGCACACCTTCGTTAAGGCGATACTTTGGTTACAGTCGACTTTTGATACCGAATCTCATCGACAAGAAAATGTGCAGTGTTTTCATTTCGATCCCGAACCACTTCATCACCGTTACTGTCTTGGAATTAGTTCGCTCTATGTCTTCATGGTGCTCATGATAGTCCATGCGTTTCGTTGCATCATGGAGATCTATTTGGAATGACTTAGTTGCCGTAAACGCACTGTTGCTTCTGTTTCTCTGGCTGTTCAGTAGGCTGTTATGAAGAGGTGAGATGACTTATGCATCATTCCACATAGTTTACTTCGAATTCAGCGCATGGGTGATGATAATCTTTCAGTCGCCCGATGTCTTTGTAGGTGTGCCTCTCACTACCGAGAATAGACTATTTATTTATTGTGACTACCGTAACATTCGTTTGCTTTTAGCCGAAAGACGATAGTAAACGATATAATGATTTTAGCATATTTTCTGGTGGTTGTGTTTTTTAACCCTGAATACTGAGTACTGTATACTTGGAGGAAATGAAATTTGAATCTGTGCAACCCCATCAAAATATGCTCCGAAATGTCAAAACTATTTGTCACCTGTAGATACGCTGGTGGTTTCTAAACTTTGCATATGATATTACGAAAGTGTTTGATTCACAATAACATAGAACTCACAAATGTTCAATGTCGTCAACATGTAATCGTTCTCTGAATGCAGTGCGAAATGAGAACCCAGTAATGCACTGATTTGGCCTCTACTGTGTGCTCCGACAAGCACTGACCTCGCGTGGATGGGGAAGTCGCTTCATATCTGCGTGCGCAAGCTTGTGCCAGTGTCCGCCTGCGCTACATCTTGTTTACAGGTGGAGCTGCGGCCTCAGCATGAGGAAATCACAGAGATGCAAAACATAGCAGGTTACAATGAGATCGACTCGCACCCGACAATAAGGTGTGCAGTCTTGGTCTCTCGCACCGGTCCTCGTACGGTAAAACCCTTAGACTGGGGATAAATTTAGTAGCAATATGTTGAATACATTCTATCTGTTACTTGCCTCGAGTGCTCGGAATGTAGGTAGGTGAGTCGTACCGTAGCTGCTGGGCAACAGCAGCTTATCAGGATCAAATTGAAACGGTGGCGGGCACTCGAGGGCGATCACCACGTTGATTATCTAACCAACCGAATGACGCTAAGTTGCGTTGGTTCAGGCGCGTACTACGCGTGACCTGAAGGATGACAAGCCTACCCTGTAATCCGAGTGCTCGAGTTGGAGTCTTTCTAGGGGACCGGGCGACCGTCACATTATTCTTAGCCCACGCGCGACTATTGGTGGTTGCACGGCAGCAAAGCGTTGACACTGCGTTCCGACGTACTGCTGTTACCTTGCTACCTTGTGCATTTGCGAGTACCCAATGAAGCACGACGCAACAAGCCTCTGCCATTGATCATGCCAACCATCATCATTCGCCTGCGTAGCTCTGATGATTAGTTGGCAAAGTTTGGTTACGCCCCAAACAGTCCACTGGCTCTTTCGTTAAATTTAGAATGCAGAACGACGACGTTTTTTGTTTATACAAACTTTTGCACTTGCGCCAACCGCTTACCGAGAAAAGTTGTTTTTTCTAAGTCAAGTGGCGTTCATTTCGGTTAAACAACTATGATTCGAGCACGGAAGTGCGATGGATCCAGTTACCTCGACTCACCGTAAGAATAACGATAAATAATAACTGTAGATTAGTGGGTTTCGATGCGATTAACCTGTAGAGAAAATAGCAGCAAGGAGGAAATGAAGCAAATGAAGTGAATGAAGCAAAAATTAACAACCGGATGCAAGAAACCGAATGCAGGAACGCCACTGACTGCGTGACTACGCCATATCTGATACCTTCACCAACCATCGATATGGACCATCCAGAGGCCCCATCCACGCACCAGTCTGACCAAGTTTCTCGGTCATCTTTTTCAGCTTCTGTGTCACGTCATTGACTGGTCAGCTCGCGGTTTCGCCCAACTTGGTGAGGCCACGACATATAATGCACGCCGAGGAAGCCGATCAACGGGTATACGGAGGACATGGCCTAGCCAGCGCAAGCGACTAAGAGTCAGCAAAAACTCGTGTGATGCACCAGGAGGTTTCTTGCCAAATGCCAACTGGCGGACCTCAGCATTGCTCACCCGGTTTTCCCACCAAAATTGAGCAATACCTCGCAAGCGGCGGTTGTCAATCACAGCCAAGCGTTTAATGTCTTCACTACTAACTGTCCAGATCTCTGACCCATAAGTAACACGGCCTCGCGGCATTCTACACCCTACTTTTTGATGACAAGTTGATATCCCGCCGTACCCATAGATGGTTAAGCCTCTGGAAAGTCACACGTGTCCTGCTGTTTGGCGTAGTGCCATTATAGTCCCTTTGATCTCAGATGATTGCTCAAGAAGTTACTCTTAACCACACTCTTCCCTTCATCCTCCTCCTTACTCATCGGCTTCGTCATTTTTTAATGACAGATAACGATAGCGACGACGACGATGATGATGATGCTGTGGCGGATGATATGGCGAGTCTTTAAAACTCATCCACTCCTTTTCACTGTCTTGAATTCCTTCATCCTTATGACCCTACGTAACGGTTAGAGGCTTAATCACTTTCCTATCTCTACTGGGCATTAATGTAGGTTTAATTCAAGTTTATTTGCACCGTTCCATCGGCAGTTATTTGATCGCATTAATTACCACCTCCCCTGTCTCGATGCTGTCGGATCGAACAGAGGTGTTCACTGCTGATGCATCCCAAACGGACTAAATGTCTGCCTGAACTTTTCGGGGGGCGCAATGACCGTCTAAGTAATACTGCGAGAACCTTTTCTTTATTTCTTTGGAGGATTAGATCCACTTGAAGGTTTGATAAATGCGGACTTCTCGTGTTTATGTGAAGCTTTTGAAGCGAGCTACCTTGTGAAGCTTCAGAGTAGGACAATTCTGTTCTGCTATACTAGACCAGGGTACTCGTGCTGTTGCGTCGCCGCTGACTGTGCACGCCCCCACGACCGCAAGAAGAACACGAAAATGAACCAGGACCGCGTTGTATGCATGAGAACACTGCTTCCTTATATAGAGTACAATAGTTTATCAAACAAAGCTACCAAAACACGTTGGATCTTACCAACATCATAGGAAACAAAGAATAATACGGACGAATGAGGAGTGGCAAAGGAAAGAACCAGTCAGGTGAGTTCGAGGAAACGGTATTAGTGGAAATAGGTCTCTGAAATAGCATCTATTATGAACTGCGTAGGCCAGCTGATCGAAGCAAAGGACTGATGCGTTTGACCAATTGTCAAGGAACAAACGATGGCGAAACGAAAGTAGGCGACTAAGGCTTGTAACAAAAAAGCTATGTCCATTGCGCATCCTCCCAACCCCTTCCTCTTCTTAAAAGTTGGTTACCTGAGGCTTGTGTAGCTCTTCCATCGGGGGTCCACCTGGAATGACTGAATAAATCGTCTTCTCCTTTTTGGTCACCCCTGTGTTCCATTTCCTGTGGTTTCCAATGGCTGTGTGCATTGTCCGGCGAAATCCCTTGGCTTGCTGTTGTCCAGTATTTCGGCAAAATCAAGTCTGTTGGTGTAAGATGTCACTGTGTTCTTTATATAGCCAGGTTTCATTTGATTGGCATGGCGGATCCACGCTTGCCTACCGATACGGATCTCATGCATCACCGACCACGGTGCCGCACGATGACTCCAAGTATCCGGTTCCCCTGCTGAGAGACGACAAACACCTGGGCTCTGACTTCATAATCCCTGCTCCACGCTCCATGCCGCCTATTATGCTGGGTTTGCATTACGTGATTCGTACAGTGCGTCGGTTGGCATTTGGGGGTCAGTAAGTCCAGAGTTGTTCTCGGTCTTCGGCCCACATGTATCTCCGCAGGCTACTTCCCATCTGGCGCATTGGGATTCGATGCAACTCGATAATTCAGCCTTTCTTTTAGCAACCGTTCCGCTTTCGATCGGAACCGCGCTTGTTTCGGGATAGCTACAGATCGTTTGGCTTGTCCATCAGATTGCGGGTGATAATGTGTAGTCTTCAGGTGCTAGATTCCATTGCGTGCACCAAACTCAGCAAACAGATAAGACACGAATTGCGGCCTGTTATCCGACCTAATGGTTTCTGGTAGGCCATGCTGCCTGAAAACGCGTATTAATGCGTGTAGTGCACTAGTTGCTGACGTGTTTTTCGTCATGGTTACTCCCGGCCACTTGCTATTAGCATCGACAGTTCCAAGAAACGAAACTCCTTCAACCGGTCCCGCAAAATCCACAGGAAGCCGTGCCCATGGTGATTCCGGTGTGGGCCAAGACTGCAGTGTCGTTCGTCTCGGCAGCTCCTAAGCGTACGCGCGCTTTGAACAGGTACGACCAATGTCCTCTAACTGGTTGTTATGGTTCGGCCAAAAAACGTAGCTCCGAGCCAGTGCCTTTATTCGGGCAATTCCTGGATAACCTTGCTGGAGTTGCCTCAAAACGCATTTCCGCAGGAATTCTTGTATGATTATGGAGCCGGCGAAGAACAGATAGTAGTCAATTTCGCGCGTGTAAAACAAATTTTTTCGAAGTTTACCTGGCCAGTCATGTCTTATGTTGGTATGGACTTCTTGCAGTTGTGGATCATATATCGTGGCTTCCTGAACCATTTCGTCATTGA